GCATTGGCCGGGCGGATGCATTTGGGGTGGCTGCGTTGCGGCAGGCATGCCGAGCAGTTGAGTTGCACCTGCGGCGCGCGTGCATGCACCCCGCACCTTCGCTGAAGACCTCCAGGGAGGTGGTAAGCCCCTTGTTCTCCGCCATCTCCAAAATGCCGTTGCCTGCGGCGGCAGGCAAAAAGGCGGCGAACTGCTGAGGTGGACGGTGGCGGCCGGGCGGCCGGCGTGGTGGTGCGACCCGAGGTCAGCAACGCAGCACCGGACAGGGGCCGACGCCAGCCAGTGGCTCAAGGCATGAAGGGGGGCCATCAGAATAAGATTGCTCCGGAGCCCCTCCAGGACGGGGCCAGTGCCCACCGTTCCATGGCATCTCCAGCCTTTGGGTAGGGGGTTTGGTAGGGGGGAGAGGGATGCAGGCGTTGGGGTGCGGTGAGGCCGGGGGCAGGGAAGGGTCCTCGCTCGGCGGGCGGGGTCTAATAGAGAGCACGGCAGGTGGGCGCACCCCCGGCGTCAGGGGCGCGACGCGCAACCACGCGGCCCTCCCGCCCGCAAACTGTGGTGCCGCCGGCGAGACCCACTTGATGTCTGTGCCCGGCGGCGTGTTGGGCCAGCCGGCGACTGTCTGCTCCTGATACTTGACCTGCGCGTTCCAGTCCGCCACGCTGCAGCGGTACGTCTTGTTGTCGGCCTCCGTCCCAAGGAACACGTCATCCATCTGCGGGATTGCGTCAAACGTCATTAGAATGACACCACAACATGACTTGGTCAAAGTCAGGTCAAATCTTCAGAGTAGCGTTTCTTAGGGAAACAGTGGGCAGAAAATGGGAGCTCCCTGACATGCGGTGACATCAACGGCGATACCAGCCCCTGGACAGCCAGCAGCCGGTGATGTGTGCCAGACCTAAGGAGAAGCACGGCGAGGTGGAGAGCAGACGAACGCGGCCCCACCTGCACAGACAGCAGGGCGCGGCGCTCCCCCGCGATGACGCCCTGAGTCATCCAGGTCACGGCCAGGTGCGACAGCAGGACGCAGGACGTCGACCAACCGGCGCAGTCAAACACGAACGCCATCGACTCGCGGCCGTCCCCGTATCTGTTGTGTGGGGGTTGGGTGCCGTGTTGCGAGGGGGTGTGGGCGTGTCTTGGTGGATGCTCGGCTGGTTGCACTGCGGCCTCGCGCCCGCGCACTGGTGATTGGCAACAGCGTGGCGGTTGGTGACAGCAGGGCGCAGCCGCTGGATTCAGGCAAAGCATTTCATCGGCTCTCACTTGACAAGCGTGCCGACAACGCCGTCGGGGGTCTCGAGGATGGAGGTTGGGGTGCACGCGGGCACCAGGCCGGTGGTGGAGAAGTCGGCTGCCCATATGCCGCAGGAGGTCTGGGGTGTTGCCTTGATGCCGGGGCACCTATGTGTTTTGGGGGGGGGGATGCATGTATGGGTGTTTGTGGGTCCGTGCACGCGCACGTGCATGCATGTGCACGTGTGCAGCTGTGCGTGGGTGGGTGAGTCAAGGCGAGAGCGCACTGAGGTTTATGTGACCTGCAGGCAGGTGGCCATCAAGGTGTACAGATACCGTCATCAATGCCACGTCGCACCCACGCGTGCTCAACACACGCAGCTCCACCGTCATGCGTTGGTCTAGGTTGCTGGATCCCCAGCCCCTCCATGACAAAAACCAGTGAATATATATGTAATGCAACAATGTGTGCATCCCAGACCGTCTAAGCAAGAACCACCTACGCGTCCCCCTCCAACCGGCACATGTGCACACGCAGCCACACAGCCACGCAGCCACGCAGCCAGCCACAGCCACGCAGCCAGCCACAGCCACGCAGCCACACAGCCAGCCACAGCCACAGCCACAGCCACAGCCACAGCCACAGCCACAGCCACAGCCACAGCCACAGCCACAGCCACACACTCACGCACACAGCCACACACACACACACACACACACGCACCCATGCACACGCACCCATGCACACGCACCCACGCACATGCACGCCGGCAAGCACACACACAGACACACAGCCCCAGCTCATCCTCGCCCAACCCCCACCTGTACAGCCCCGACGTGCTCAGCTGCGCCGTCGCCCTGATCCCCGAGATCCCAAGCGGCGTCGCAGCGGTGAACCCCATCGTCCCCGCCGCAGCGCTGCAGGCCGCATAGTTCGGGTCCCAGCCGACGTTGGACGGCCACACCCCAAACTTCACACTGCGCGCGCCGGTCTTCTTCTGGTAGTCCCAGATGAGGTTGACCTCCGCCTGGCGCAGCTGGCCGGTCGCCTCCAGGTTGGGGTACCTGCCGAGCGGCGGTGTCGACAGAGGGGTGCAAATCGGGTCTCGCCTGTCAAACTTGTGTTTTGTAAGCCCCCCGACCGCGCACACCGCGCGCCCTGCGTGCAGGTGCTGCCAACTCTTCACGCCGGCGAAGCTTCGGCGCAAACCATGTCAAGCGTGCGAAGAGGTCAAAGCGGCGCGCGCGCACGTGCGTGGCATCGCGGCTCACATGACGAAGCTGCTGTATCTGCCGGTGCCGTCGGGGTTCCAGAAGAGCGCCTGCAGGTCCAGCCGCGGCGTCGCGTCCTGGTCGAAGCGTACGACGTCGTGGGGTATGCCGTATGCTGTCAGGGTCTGGACGATGAAGTCGGTGGACGTGAAACCTGAGGGGGAGGCGGCGGCAGCGCCACTTTGTTGTGCGGTGCGTCGCCTCAAGCAAGACAGCGAGGGCGCAGGGCAGACCTGCCAGCGCGGCCGAGTCAACCTTTAGTTGTGCAATGGGTTGTGCCGGCAGCGTATGGTGACTTTTTCAGGCACCACCCCTCCCTGTGTTGCAACTCGCCCGCGCGAGGCGGCCGTGCCTCGCGTATCGAGCTAGGCGTGAAGTTCTCACCGGGAACCGTCAGGATGAGGACCCGGTGGTCAATTACTACGGTCCGGGGGGGCGGCGGCGGCGGCGGCGGCGCGGTGTCCACGCCCGCAGGGCCGCTGGCCATCCAGTCCGTGGCGAGCTTGGTGAGTGTCCCGCAGGTGGCGCTCCAGTCCGCGCAGTCATGGACGAAGCCCATGGTCTCACGGCCGTCGCCGTACCTGCAGGGCAGGTGAATGGGGGGGGGGCAGATAGGGTGTGAGGAAAGCGGGGGGCCGATGTGCGCTTGGGCGGGGGAGGCAGGTTGCGCGCGGCGTGCCCGCCAGGCTGCTGGGCCGACGAGGCTGCTGGGCGGGCGGGCGCGACGAACTCCTTAGCTGGTAAACCTCGGCCGTCCCAAGGGGGCTTTGCGCAGAATGTTGTCTAAGGGGGGGCCTCACTTGACGAGCACGCCGGTGACGCCGGGGTTGGCCCAGGCCGGCCCCAAGGCGGGGGCGGCGGCGAGCGTGAGGATTGGTGTCGGCGTGCAGGGGGGGATGATGCCGGTGCCGGCAAAGTCGTTGGCCCAGATGGCACAATACGTCATGGGCTCGGCCAGCTTGCCGGGGGTCCTACGGGGGAAAGGGTGCAGCAGCGATGAAGGGTGGGGGTCATGAAAAGGGGCGCCGGGGTACAGGTCACGTGCACAGCACACAGGCGGCAGCCGGCTGGAGGTGAGGCGACTGGCACACTGTGCTGGCAGCTGGCCGGCTTCCGGCGGGCTGCCGTTGCTCAGACCCACTGGCGGAGGGTTGGACGGGCTGTGGACCGAGGCTTTACTGGAAATTACCACGAGCTCGTAGTGTGGCAAGGGGGCCGGCAAGAGGCAGGGCAGTTGGTGAGCAGGCTGTGGAATCGCACACGTGATTGCAACAAGGCTCAACGAGTGTCGTGTGCGATCACGACACTCGTTGAGCATGAGTGAGTTTTGGAACGTCATGCCCCGCCGACTATGCTGCTGCCGCGCGCCAAGCCCCTGCGTCTGCGCCCACCTCCAGAGCCCGTTTGCGCTGAGTGCGGCGTCCAAGGGGATGCCCGACGTGCCGAGCGGCGCGGCCGCGGTCAGGGACATACCCAGGTCCTGGCTGCCGCTGGCGTCGTAGGCGGGGTTGAACCCCAGGGTCGCAACCCAGGCGCCAAACTTGGCGCTGCGGACGCCTGTCTTCACTTGGTAGTCCCAGAGCGTGGTGACCTCGTCCTTGGTCAGGTCGCCGATGGCCTCCAGATTGGGGTACCTATCGGTGCGCGCGTGGGCGCGGGGGACACGGCATACAGGTGCAGCTGATTGGCCAAGGAGGGTGGGGGCAGATGAGCCGGCGCTCTGC